ACCCTTGAAATAAGAAAAGTGCATATTAAAACAGCTTTTCTGCTAAGGGCCTTACCAATTTGGTGCCCTGCAGAGGAGGTATAGCCCAAGAAAAAAGTTTCATTCTTACATGGCTGAAGAGCCAGAGGTCAGAATTCAGAGTTGTCAGAGCAGCTAGAATTTTAATGAAAATCCTGAAAAAGAGGGAGCCAGAAAAGAGAAGACACAAAATTTACACACAACAGCCCCCTAAATCCTTCCCTAAATTGTAAACTGCAGTAGGAAAAACAAGAAGAAAGCCACAGCTGAAAAGCTAAAAGAGATGCAAGGAGATTTCAGCAACTTCTTGATGCACAGGACACAGAGTCTGGAGTTAAGTCCAGTGATGTGATAGGATTTTGGCCAATATCTTGGACTTTGCTTGGAAAGTTCACACATTAGGAATGAGAACCACAAACCAGACTAAGGACTATGCCTTAGAACTATGGAAGAACACTTAATATATGCTCCATAGGTTTTAGGTGATCCTTCAATAATTTCACTGTGTGCCAAAATAAAAACCAACCTTTTTCCAAATCCAGAGTCTCTAAAATGTATGAAACTCAATGTCCAGTATTCAATAAAAATTATTATATATATAAAACAAGTAGAATGTGGTCCAGAAGCAAAGGGAAAACCAGAAATATAAGTAGACCCACAGAAGACTAAGATATTGGAGTTAGCAGACTTTAAAATAAGTATTATAAATATATGAGAGAATTCACAGGATTACACATACACACACATGCATTACATATAAGTAAATATATTATAGATACTGCACATACATATGTATGTATGTATATATGTAATGCTATGGATTTTTCATATTTACATATGTGATCCTGTAAATTATTTAATATATTTACACACATACACATCATATATGTATATAATATTATACACGCAGGGATATAATAAAAGAAAGGGAATTTCAGGAAGGATATAGGAAGTTCTAAGAAAACCAAATGTAAATCTTAAAATGAAAAATATATTTTTGCTAAAACAATTCATAGTATGGATTTCAAGGAAATTGGACTCTATAGAAGAAAATACCAGTAACTTGAAGACAGATGAGTAAAAATAATCAAAACTGAGTAAGAGAGGAAAAAAAGATTAGAAAATAAACAGAACTCAATAACCTGTAGAACAATGTTAAGAGGTCTTTATATATGTACTGCAGTCCAAGAAAGAGATAAATAAGAGAATGGGGTAGAAAATTAGAATACTGGCCAAAAATCATCCCAAATAGTTGAAATCTTGAGAAACTTAAATGATTAAATCACATCTCTTTTATCGTACACCTCTCAAAACCATCATATTGATTTTGTCCCAATAATTTATTTCCATTCACTTTTCTAAAGACTTGTGGTTATGAGACTGTATAAAAATATAGTAGATATGGTGTTATCTATTTTAAAAAGTGAAAAGGTAATAATGTTACATTTTGCTAAATAAAGAATTAACATTTGAGATGTCAAAGAGATGAACCTGATTAAAATGGGACTAGGAAAAGAATAAAGGATCAAAAAAGAAAACTCTTTTTCATCTGTATAGTTCAATTTGTGATGAGAATGGTGAATAAGATACCAAGCAACAAATTTGTAAATGACTTCTGTCATATTAAAAAGGAAAACACTTCACTTAAGACACTATGCAACTTTAACTGAATGACAGTAAAGAATATATAAAAATAAAAACTTAAACATCAAAATACACCTTCAAAAACAATTTCTTTATGTGTCAGGACAGTAATGAATAGTTTCTTACCAATGAGTCAAAATTAAATTATGTGAATATGTGAGACATGTTACCATCTAAAAAAGCAATCTCACTTCTCTATTGATAAATTTTAGTTATTTGAACATATGGTTCCAATCTTGCTTACATCTTTTTAAAAATGCTTAATCAATCACTCTTTGAAATATGCACGGTCCCATCATTTGGTAATGTCTAAATAATATCTGGGATAGGAGTGGTAAATGTAGACTGAAGTTAAAAATTGTAGAAAATATTACTTTCATATTAAAATTTTAATTTCTCATAACCTAATTTCTTTCAGACGTGAGCAATGAGCAAGTGGCCCTTTCTACAGATGTTTTAATACATAGAACCTTCTTATTTTGCCACATACAGAAATACTGGTGTAAGAAGAAGCCATCTATTTCAAATACTTTCACTAATTCCTTTACTAGGGAAACCATTCAAACCTTATAATCAAGGTTGCCTGGACTTCTATCTCAAAAAGAATTAAGAAAATATTAAAGTTAGCTATAAGATATATGAAATAATTATTATTAGAGTGGTTTTTAAAATATCTCCTTACATGTTTAAAATTATAAATTACAAATTTCCATGGAAATGAAGTACTTTTTTGAATCATTTGAATCTACAAATTTAAAATAGGAAATCATGAGCAGAGAAAACAGAATTCCAACAATACCAGTAAATACCCATATATATTCAATAAGCTCATAGCCTCAGCTCATGGCCTCAGAGATTGAATTACCAACATATTCTACTATGCAGATGTAGAGAATAAATGAGGGATTATTATATATTTTTGATGATAACTGTTCATTCATATGTTCCATCAAATATGTTAATAACCATGATTTTTTACCAAATAAGACATACTTATAAATAAATGCAATATTTACTCTCTCCATGAAAAAAAAAAACCTTGAAGGAGGTCATTCTTATGAATGAATTTTTAAAGTAATTAATGTTTATTTATACATGTCTTAACTTGACAAAGAATCCTCTTATTTTGCCACATACAGAAATACTGGTGTAAGAAGAAGCCATCTGTTTCAAATACTTTCACTAATTCCTTTACTGGGGAAACCATTCAAACCTTATAATCAAGGTTGCCTGGACTTCTATCTCAAAAAGAATTAAGAAAATATTAAATGCTCAACACTGATGAACAATATATCCTCAGCCAATAGTAATGTCTTTAACTTTCTAACTATTTCTAAGTGTAATTTCCTAATCTTCATTTCCTTTATGCATATGTACATATTTTTACATATCTTCAGTCCTACACATTGCTAATAAATTATGATTACATTTTAGGTGTAAAACACCAATTTTTCCCATATGTTCAAATATTGAAAATCTATTTATTAGAGGTTAGTTGGTAGGTAGTGACAAGACTGAATGGTGCAACATGAAACCATATTACCCATGAATGAATTTAATACTATTAATGATTAAGTAGCAGAGGAGCCATTTGGGGGATGATTAAATATTAAAAGCTACAAACTCGACTAAGTCAAATTAATTGCATGAAAATCTATGATACATGTAGCTAACTAGAAAGAACTCTATTCTCATTGTTCTTCACATACACTATTCTTAATTCACTGGGGAGGAAAAAAGTAATGAAAATTGTTGGTAGATTTAAGAGTTTCAGATATTAAAAGTCATCAAAACTAGTTATTATAATAGCAACTAGAATAAGTATTAGCATTAGCTATAAGAATTAGTACAAATTGATTTACATTAGTAAACTTAAGCTATAAACTTAAGCTATAAGAATTAGTACAAATTGATTTACATTAGTAAACTTCATGTTCTAACCCATGATCCTGTATTGTGATTTAGAGAGAATGACTTAGTAGATTACAGTGACCCAAAAGAATAGACACTAAATGAGTCCACATAAAATTCATAGTAGTGTAATTATTACAACAAAAAATGATGTTAAGGCCAATGCAAATAACAGTGGGTAAATGTTTACTCTGTGGAGAAGCTGAAAAAAGTGAGTGCTGTAAAATTAGTGTTTAAATAATACCACCCAAGTATAAAAGACTGTAGCTAGTGAAAATAAAATTCTAGTCATCAGAGACATTATTTTAAAAAGGAGTGAAGGTAATTCTCTAGGCTTTCCTATGACTAAATATCCCATAAGACCTATCCTTTGCTCTAATTCTCTATTCATCAAATAGCCTTCTGATATATAATTTAGTCCTCTATTCAGCAGGGAGATTGTGATCCATGTAGACAACAGTCATTTGTTATGTTGCCAAATATATTTCCCATGATTGATAAATGACATGGCTTTTGTGCTTATAAATTTACACTTCTGCAATTTGTTTAATGTCAATCAATTCTCCATTACTTCACAAAAAAAAATGTTGCTAAGCCTGGAACGTGCTGACTCCATGAAGATAAAATTATCCCATGAACGCTACACAAAGAAGCAAACAGACAACCCCCCCCCTTTATAATAGACACATCAAGAAAACAAATTAGATTCGCACGAACAACAAACCAATAATGCCACTTTTCAGTCTAGAAAACATTTCCAAGTTTCTTTTAATATTCTCTGAGTTGATCAAATTCTACTTGATACTTTGGACTATGTATATAATTCAAGGTAAAATGCAAACAATGATGATGATAATAATAACAACAACAATAATCACATCAGTTTATATTCCTGAGAATATTTAACTTTTATAACCACCCTTAATGTAGGTATTATTTCCTGAGGAAATAATGAGGAAAGTGAATCATAGAGAGAAAACCTACCTGAAGTCATATGGCTCTTAAGTGAGAGAATCAAATTCAAAACCCATGTTTGTTTGACTAATGCTCATGGTCATGGTTTCAACCACTATGCTATACTTGCCATCCTCCATATTTATAAAACACTTGGCATAATGAAGATGGAAATCATAATTTCAGACATGTATAGCTACATGACCAAATTTTACTATAGCTGCTTTCTCATTCTGACATAAGTTTCCAATAGCCAAAATTAAAACATAACTGTGTTTCATTTGGGGTCATACTATGATAAATGAATGCTATAAATATAACCTCATTTTAGTGTATCAATTTAAAACCATCAATAGCTATGAAAACACTAATAGATGCTTGTTAATACCCATAATGGGATCTTCAAATTCTATGACATATATATCGTTTAAGATAATTCAATAAAGGTCTGATAAATCTCACTGAAAACTTACTTTGCAACCTCCTTGTTGGGCTTTCTCCATGGAGCTGTCGTCGCGGCATATATGGAGAAGGGTGGGGAAGTGGTAATGAAGAAACATCATGGGTCTGAAGTTTGTACCAATGTGGCTCATCATCTAATAATGCTGTTTCTAATTCAATTAAAATCTACAAAATCAAGAGACAAAAGAAGATTATATATCTACAATATAGAAACTCCCTTAAATGGTCTCATAACTTTTATAATAATGATAATTATAATAATAATGTTGTTAGGTCAAAAGCAATGTCATGTTACAAAATTGTCCATATGTTTTGACAATAACTAAATAAAAGATAAATATGCATAACTTTTTATTGACTTAATAATTTTAAATATCTAGATATTTTATAGACCTCTGACCACCCACCTACTGTTAAATTTGCCATTACATAAAGACACTACAAAAAAAAAAAAAAAAAAAAACCTACAGGCCAATATCTCTGATAAACACAGATGCAAAAATTCTCAATAAAATATTAGCAAACCAAATCCAAAAATACATTAAAAAATCATTCACCACAATCAAGTGGGATTTATTCCTGGTATGCAGGGTAGTTCAATATACACAAATCTATCAATGTGATACATCATATCAATAAGAGAAAGGAAAAAAACCATACAATCATTTCAGTAGATGCAGAAAAGCATTTGACAAAGTACATTCATGATAAAAACCCTAAAAAAGTAGGTTTAGAGGGAACATACCTCAACGTAATAAAGGCCATATATGAAAAACCTACAGCTAACATCATATTCAAAGGTGAAAAACTGAAAACTTTTCCTGTAAGATTAGAAAAAAGACAAAGATGTCCACTCTCACCACTGTTATTCAACATAGTAGGGGAAGTCCTAGCCATAGCAATCAGTCAAGAAAAAGAAATAAAAGGCATCCAAATTGGTAAGGAAGAAGCAAAATTTTCACTATTTGCAGATGACATGATACTATATATAGATAATCCTAAGGACTAACAAAAAAATACTAGAACTGATAAATTCAGTAAGGTCACAGGATACAAAATCAAAATGCAGAAATCTGGTACATTTCTACACACTAATAATGAAGTAGCAGAAAGAGAAATTAAGAAAACAATCCTATTTACAATGGCACAAAAAATAAAAAAATACCTAGGAATAAACTTAACCAAGGAGGTGAAAGACCTGTACTCTGAAAACTGTAAAACACTGATGAAAGAAATTGAAGATGACACAAACAAATGGGAAGATATTCCATGCTCGTGCATTGGAAGATTATTATTAAAACATGCATATTCCTAAAGCAATCTATAGATTTAATGCAACCCTATCCAAATACCAACAACATTTTTCAAAGAACTAGAACAAATCATCCTAAAATTTATATGGAACCACAGAAGACTCCAAATAGCCAAAACAATCTTGAAAAAGAAAAACAAAAATAGAGGTATCAAATCCCAGATTTCAAGATACGGTAATCAAAACAGTATGGTGCTGGCACAAAAATAGATACATAGATCAATGGAACAGAATGGAGAGTCCCACAATTGTGGGAAATCAACCCACAATTATATGGTCAGTTAATCTTCAACAAAGGAAGCAAGAATATATAATGGGAAAAATATAGTCTCTTCAACAAATGATGTTGGAAAAACTGGACATCTACATGAGAAGAATGAAACTGGACCACTTTCTTACACCATATACAAAATCAAAATGGGTTAAAGACTTAAATGAGACCTGAAACCATAAAAATCCTAGAGGAGAGCATGGGCAGTAATTTCTCTGACATGGGCCATAGCAACATTTTTCTAAATATTGTCTCCTAAGGTAAGGGAAACAAAAGCAAAAATAAACTATTGGGACTACATTAAAACAGAAAGCTTTTTCACAACAAAGGAAACATTCAACAAAACAACAAGGCAACCCACTGAACAGGAGAAGATATTTGCAAATGATATATGCAGCAAGGGATTAATATAAAAAATATATAAAGAACTTATGTAATTCAACACCAAAAAACCCAAATAATCCAATTTAAAAAATGGGCAGAAGACATGAGCAGACATTTTTCCATGGAAGACATACAGATGGCCAATAGACACATAAACAGATGCTCAACATCACTAATCATCAGGGAAATGCAGTTTTCCCATTACAGAAATAATGCTTATTACTACAAGTCTGTAATAACTAATATTTGTATATCATTTGATAATTTAAAAAACATTTTTATTTACATTTAATTTAACCCTTACAAAAACTCTTAAATGGGGAGACAAAACCAAATTAGAAGTGTCTACTGTATGTTAAGAACGATGTCATATATTATCTTAATTCTCAGAAAGAAACTGCTAGATTGGTCTTATTCAACTTTTACAGATAAGGATACCAAGGCTAACAAAGGTCAAAAGAACTTGTCTAAGCTCAAACTAACTGGTAAGTGAAAAAGGTTTAATATGAATCAAAGTCTGTCTTATTTAAAACTCTTGTGTTCAACATATCATGCCACTAGGAATTCAAAACGGGAAAGAAAGTGAAGAATAGATTTTTAATATGAACCATATCATAATATGGATTTTATAATATGAATATTTAATAAATTTACAGAGGAAATCAGCCCACAGGAATAAATGAATCTTTTATTTCCTTTTAGGGTCCTGTGCAAACATGATAGTGTTTGTGATTATGTATATGAGAACTGCTGTGTAATGATAAATCACTATTTAGCTCTGGGAGCTAAACAGAACTGTATTAACTGCCACAAATACAATACATTTGTGAAACACAAACCAACCTTTCAGCATCAACACTGAGATTTCTACAATAGGAATAAACATCTAAAAATTGTCACAGATTATTTAGAAGCCATTTTTTATGGCATCAATGTTTTGTCTTGGAGTAGTAGCTAAATATATTCCATTAAAGAAACTGTTTACTTTTCCAGATATTCAAAATATAAGATTTTACTGATAATCACATAAAGAAAAGTATTTAAGAGGACATGAATAGTCTCAGCTTTAAAATTCCAGATACCTCTCCTAAGAATTCACTTTCTTCCTCTCGAACTCGAGCTTGATCCCAGAGAGTAATCTCTAGCATTCGTTCCCTAAATTCTCTTCGGTGGACTGGGGAATAAATGAATGTTTGGTTCCATTTGGGTTCCAATGTTTTCTTTACTGTCTTAGTTCTTCTTTTGTTTTTATCACTATAAAAAAGATAAGAACATATGAACTTAAACCTTTAAGTTTTGCCCTAAAAATTATTCATTTAAAATTTCTCAGGCAGGGAGTGAAATTTTACCACAATTTATCATACATTATAAATATTATAATCATTTAAATTCCTACTAAAATTTATAAGGATATAATTACATCACTTTATAAAGGCAATATTTCTTTTTTTAAAATTTTATTATGTTAGTCACCATACAGTACATCATTAGTTTTTGATGTGGTGTTCCATGATTGTTTGCACATAACACCCAGTGCTCCATAAGGCAATATTTCAATAAATCTGAAATCCTTCCATGATAATTAAAAACTTCATCTTTCTCAAAATCTAAATAAAACCAGACTGAAGAATATTAACTCTATAATACATATTGCCCTATTGGGAACCTTCAAAATGGCATGAACCAATAACATTACATATGCTGCTCACTTAAACTACAGAAGTGTAATTGCACAAAAGTCCAATAAATTGTGATGTTTACTTTTTATCCATATAGTTCAGCTGAGCAATTATAATTACATTTTATCAAGTTACTTTCTTGCATAAAGAAATACATACTTGTCCATTTGAGAGTTATCAGGTCTTTAAAAGCACTGTAAAATTATTTCTTTTTTTTTCTTTTTTTAGAGAGGGTGGGGGAGGGGTAGAGGGAGAGAGAGAACCTTAAGCAGGCTTCACACCCCATAGGGCTCCACACAGGGCTCCATCTCAGGACCCTGAGATCATGACCTGGGCTGAAATCAAGAATCAGCTGCTTAACCAACTGAGCCACCCAGGTGCCCCTGTATTTTTAACTTTTTGAGGAACCACTATACTGTTTTCCATACTGACTGCACCAATTTATATTCCTACCACCAGCGCACAAGGTCCCCGAAGAGTCAGATGCTTAACTGACTGAGCCACCCAGGCGCCCCTGTAAAATTATTTCTATGTGAGGTCACCACTATAATGTGGGCTGGAAATGCAAGCTGGCCATCCCTAATAGATGGGGCTTCCAGCTCAGAGGCTTCTGTACTTTTTTTGACTGCATATTTCTATCAAGTGAATGTTTTTGACAAAGCATCCCATTATATGCATATATATTTATGAAATATATACGTGTATTACTGTACTGTTGTACTAATATATTGTGTGAATTTGTGAATATACAAAATTAGAAATTAAAAATAATTAGGTAAAAATTTAGAAAATTCAAATATTTCTTCCTGAACTCCAATGGATTGTCTTAGACATCCCCTGGGTGCATCCATTCCTTTTGGAGATCACTACTCTAGCTTATTAGACAGGATCAATGGCTAGATAGGAATAAAGAAAATCATCTAGGAAGAAAACGTTAAGCTATCTAGAGAGCTTATTTGAAGTGAGAAGTGGACCATAAACTCTGAGAAGAACCGTATCAACTGCCACAAATTCCCTCAGCACAACACAATTCTAAGACTGTTGGAATATAGGAAGCAGGGAGAACTAAGAAAGGACAGGGTGTCTCTGGACTGGGGAGGCTATGCAACTTCTTCTCTTAGGTAAATACAAGGTGTAATGCTCAATACAGATTGGATTTAACTAATCAAGAGCACATATGTTTCCAGAGCTCATATATTTAATATGGCAGAAAGCCAGTTTAAAACAATGTATCTTTATTAATTTCTATGGTCTTGTTAGGAAAATAACTTTGCAAACACATGTAGGAAATTTTAACTCTATTCCATGTTATGGAAATGTGGTATTATAAATAAAAATAACTAAATAATAGAAATAATAACAAGGATTATGATTTCTTACTCCTGTCGTCTCCTCTCTTCATCTAAAATTTTCGCAAATATTTATAAAGCATCTATGTATATTCCACACTTTAAAAAATTAATTATGAGACCCTGTGAAGAGAGAAAGTTCCCTCCTTTAAAGCCAGGAAGAAAGCATTTAGTGGGAGCCTTGTTGCATAATTCAACAATGGTTTATACTGCAATCCGAAAGGGAATAGAAGAATAAACCTTGACTTCCTCTTAAGGAGTGAAAAAAGTTCTCAGATAAAGAGGACTATTTCAGAAGGGATTTCTATACTGGGTAGGAGGGAGAGTAGATAATCACTGAAATTCCGAGCACATCCACCATGTACAATTAACATTTAATAAGGTAATTTAGTGTGTACTGAACCACCAATCCATGCAAAGAACCATGAAAAATTATCTTCAGCAAGTTAAAAAAAAAAGCACATGAGTTTTTATTTTAGAAGTATAACAAAGGGGCGCCTGAGTGGCTCAGTTGGTTAAGCGACTGCCTTCGGCTCAGGTCATGATCCTGGAGTCCCGGGATCGAGTCCCGCATCAGGCTCCCTGCTCAGCGGGGGGGTCTGCTTCTCCCTCTGATCCGCTTCCCTCTTATGCTCTCTGTCTCTCATTCTCTCTCTCAAATAAATAAAATCTTAAAAAAAAAAAAAGAAGTATAACAAAAACCTTCAAAATAACATCAGGTTAAAAGGGGGGGCAGCTCAGTCAGTGGAACATGCAACTCTTGATCTCGGGGTTGTGAGTTCGAGCCCCATGTTGGGTATACAGATTACTTAAAAATAAAATTGTAAATCAAATAAACATAGACATTGGCGAGGGTATGTGCTATGGTGAGCGCTGTGAATTGTGTAAGACTATTGAATCACAGACCTGTATCTCTGAAACAAATAATACACTATATGTTAAGAAGAAGAAGAAGGAGGAGGAGGAGGAGGAGGAGGAGGAGGAGGAGAAGAAGATAGCAGGAAGGGAAAAATGAAGGGGGATAAATCGGAGGGGGAGACAAACCATGACAGACTATGGACTCTGAGAAACAAACTGAGGGTTCTAGAGGGGAGGGGGGTGAGGGGATGGGTTAGCCTGGTGATGGGTATTAAAGAGGGCACATACTGAATGGAGCACTGGGTGTTATATGCAAACAATGAATCATGGAACACTACATCAAAAACTAATGATGTAATGTATGGTGATTAACATAACATAATAAAATAAAAAAAACAAAGAAACAAACAAAATAAGATCAGGTTGTATAAGTCAAACACTGAAAAGTTGCTAAGAGTATTTAAAAACTAAGATCGGTACGCATACTATTGAGATTTTTTTTAATAGCAGCCCAACGGCAATAAAATAAATCATTGATCTAACAGCATCATTTACCTGTTAAGAATGGAAACTATTTTTTTAAATAAAATCTAACCTAAAGTCTTTTCTATGTATTTTCATGCTACCAGTATTTTTGGTTTCCATTTAATTTACTAGAGTAACTGTATGCAAAGACTTGATGTGTTCACTCAAAATGAGAGAAAGAAATGTATTTTGACTGAAAACCAACTTTACTTCAAGATATAAAAGAGTGGAAAGCACACCCAGCTATTTTTTAGAGTACATAGTTCATTACTTAGAAAATAACGTTTTGAATGGATTGACTGACACAGTGACGTTCCAGTCTAAATCTCTTCAATGCAGTCTCACGTGTCCCTCCAGGAATTCTTAACGATAAAAAGGCATCAATTATTTTCTACATTCACCTATTCAAATAGTTTTTCTCCCAGAAAAACTCAAGAAAAATGGAATAATTCATACCAAAAGCATAAATAGTCCTTTATGCATGTGTAAAAACTTGTATCAACAGGAAAAAAAAAAAAAAACTGATAATGTAGCTGTTTCTGAGTTAACCAAAGAATTCTTTTCTCTTTTAAAGATAAAAAACCCTGGGGTTCCTGGGTGGCTCAGTCGGTTAAGCATCTGCCTTCAGCTCAGGTCATGCTCTCAGGGTCCTGGGATCAAGTCCCATGTCCAGCTCCCTGCTCAGCAGGGAATCTGCTTCTCCCTCTCCCTCCGCTCATGTGCTCTCTCACTCACTCTCTCTTTCCAATAAATAAAGATAAACCCCAACACAACTTTATCAATCAATGAACTAAGCAACAAACTTGCTTAAATATTCTTCAAATTCCTGATACTAGACAAGAAAACAGCTGAGAAATAATTTGAAAATGAAATATTTAAGTGTTTCCCACATTCTTTGGTGTTGAGAAAAGATAAAAAACACTACATTTAAAACATAAAGGAGTGGTGAAGGGGACCTTCCTTTCCATTTGAGATCTATCTGCTCAGAAAGGGGGAGAGGGTATGTAAAAGAAAATAAAACTAAACAAAAAGAGTCAATCAAATAATAAATTCCATAACTTGAAAGACTTTTATCATCTTCAAAAGTATCTTTCTTCAAAGATTTGAGCGAGTAGAAACTTAAGCTCTATGTACACATAAGAACATAGGTGGGAAGGCAGCATGTCCTGCAGGTTGTTAGGATGGCATTCTAAGAATGCTTGCACTAGAAACCACGTGTGCTCTAACAAGCCAGGTGATGTGGCCTCCAGGATGGCAGGGTAATGTGCCTATGAAATCTGTCATCCAACTAAAATTTAAGCTAGGTAAAAGCCCCAGTTATGAATATCCTCTTTCTTTGCAGTTCAAAGTATATCCCTATCCAAAAGACAACCTAAGTTGTGAGAAAACAACTTTTCTTCAAGCAAACTTTGTAAGATAAAATTATATGGCAAATAGTTTCTAATCACTTTAGATGTGATAGCACCTTGACATATTTTCTGAGGAATTTTCTTCACAAATTTCACTTCAAAACAGGTATCACATAAAATGTAAGGCCTTTGTTAATGGTCTACTTCCTTTCTTTTCTCCTTTTCTTTGAGATATTGTTCTTCAGATGATACTTGGGCACTCAAATCTGATGATTTTCAACTTGAACTAAGTACATGTGGGTCCAGAAGTGTGTAAACGTGTTGAGGATCACATCTGTGCCTGGCCACTTCCAGCCTGAGAAAAAATGACCAGACCTTGAAAGCACTCTGTCCTGAAAACCAGGGATGCAGAACAGCTGGGGAAAAGGTAATTGGTGCCATTAATTCTCTCTTTTTTCATGATGTCTATTCAATAGTCTTATTTGTTTATGTACCAGAAATTAAAAATGATTAGATAATTTTTGAAAAGCTCTTTCTCCAATCCTAATTCCTCTGTTTAAATTAGGGCAGAACAATATCATTTATGCTAGTTAGCATGGACACAAACCAATGATGCTTGAAGAAGCTGATTCTGGGCCCCGTGGTAAAGTTTCCTGGATGATATGGTGTGGTGAAACATAAAACACTCATTAATTTTATGGAATATAAAGAAATGATATCTTAGTATGAGGAGGTAGAAGTCGTAAAGGAATATGATGAATACCTTTCAGTATCATTTCCAGCTTTTTGCTTCTGTAGATTGTGCTAAAAATGCACTTGATTTTAAAAAGTATAATTTTTAATGATTTTGATAAATGAAAATACACATCATTTAAGAATCCATACAATGTAAAATAAATATTAAAAATATCATCTATATTATAACATTTGATATATGTTTTAAAACAATCTTGAAGCATTTACTGTCACTGTTTTGAAGACTAATATGAATCATATGAGTAATATGAATCATATGAATAATATGAATCATTATGCTTATGTTAAACTTCATAAATATCTGACTCGCATGATACATAAAAATAAATAAGACAGAATTGAAACACCCACTGTTATTAACATTTTTTATATATTTTTAAGAACATTTATTTTTGTTTCACATCCCTACCTTCTGTCTGGAAGAAAGTAAATTTTAACATAAGGATTCCTTGGCCTCCCATCTTCCCTGGAAGGGAGATCCTTTGCTCCCAAAATTGTAACTATTAATTGATGACCAACCTTGTCAAACCACAGTTTTATCTGAAAAGCAAAAATATTCATTTATCAGCTCAAACTTTTATTGCCATACCATAATGTTTATATTTCCAATCTTTGCCCCATTCTCTTACAGTAATGTGAGCACAGAATGTAAGTTCTACTAGTAAGTTGCAGAGAGTTAAAATAAAAGGATATGCTATAATAACTTCAATGAATAGAGGAAATAATTCAGGTATTTTGGGTTGACTGATAAATCACTTGAGCTTTTTGTTATCCTAATTTGATTGCTTATTAACATGCATGTAATAATTATACTGCCATAACTAAGAACTTTATATACAATGACTGCTCTGTGTCTATCTTTATGAAAGAATCACTGTGGTTCATTTTAGTTCCCCTACAATAATGAGTTCAAAATAATTGCTCAAATGAATTGAATAGATACCTTATTTATATGGCATTCATAGGGAATTTTTAAGCAAATGTTTTAAAAGACAAAACATTTCATTTAAAAGAAATTTCAAAGATTATAAGCAAGGTGGAATTATTAGTAGCTTTAGTCAATAGACTCCTTAAGTTTGTATTTAAAACCATAATAAATTCATCTTTATAGATTTTTCTTACACAGATATAAAGTCCCCTTTTCATTAGTGAGAAAGATGTATCACATCCTTAGAATAACAGGGTATATTTTATCACTGGAGATGAGAAAATGTGAGTAATTTCCCCATGACATAATTAGGGATTAGAACTTCACATCCAGCTGCTAAATTCATTTGATTTAACAATTATCACCTCCCACACACATACCTCACACTCCCACACCTAGCTAGCTGTTTCTACCATGTCAGGATTTATAACTGTGGCTCTATCCCACATTTTGGCTCAGAACTCAGCACATCTTTGACCACTATCTTGATATTGAATCCAAAACCTGAAATTTGGGAATAAAATTATGGTTTATATATAGTTTTGGGGTTTATATGCTTTTTAATAGTTTAATTTTTCCTTTAATTTGGATGTACAATATTTGCAGCAGTTTAAAAAATTTAAATATATATCTCATGTCAGTCCTTCCCTCTCCTCCTGAAGTGTATATATATACATATATATAAAAATCATATAAAATAAATATATATGCATGTATATATGATATACTGGTAGTGCAGTTCCATTTCTAGCATGGTTTTATTGTGTCCCTCACTTCATATTTTAGAGAATGAGAGGCTGAGCAAGACTTTGACTCAGGAGAGGAAGACTTATGGCCCGGAAGAGTACATAAAATTATTTATTCTGCTTTTCACTCAAATGAAATTAGTCCTCTTAGTAATAGTAAGAAAATTAATTTTTAAAAACTATAATTATTACTCTTTATGTTGTACTAAGTCCTTATGTTTAATGCAGGTATTATCTTGCTGTTGTGTAACAAAGTTTTCCTAATAGAGCTGCCAGGTATGGTCTCTAGACAAGTTTTTCTTAAAGTGTGGTTCCCTAACCTCCTTATATCAGTGTTATCTGGCTTATTTGTAAAAAAGTTCCTGTGGCCCACCTCTCACCTACTGTATCAGAATGGGGCCCAGGAACTCGCATTTTAACAAATCCTCCTGGTGATTCTCATAGGCATTAAAGTTTGAGAATCACTGCCTTAAACTAGGGGATCAACAACCTGGAAAAAAAAAAGACTCTAACATGCAAATAGAAAAAAAGTTCAAATATTTCCTTGTGTAACAATATGAGAACATAGATACAGATGAGGGTAAGTGGAAAAAAGAAACTATTCTTCTGGCAAAAGACATAAGGGGAAAACAACAACAAAAGTAAGAAATACAAGAATGTCTTGTATATGAGATGAAACAGAGATGTTGTCAGATAGCATCATGGTTCCTCTAAAATGTGTCACCAAAACCATATTAATTTCTGATATTCTCTATTTTCTATAGCAATAAAAGCTTATGGCTTTATTTTCCCATGATATTAAAAATCCTTCTCTGAGGATCATGACATGACTATTAGGCACTTCAAAGAGAAAAAGATTCTGAAAGGCTAAAGAAAAAATTTCTGATAAACTTTACGCAAACAATAATAATTATTATTAGACTACGCTCATAATTATTCAAGAAAATCACTGATTTCTGCCCATTTTTTTGAGGGATGAAACTAAGCACTTGCCATCTCCACAGGCGATCTTTTTGCTCCTCTAAAATTGTTAAAGAGAAACATTTCAGATACATAACTTCTAATGTTTGATAAGGAGTATTCTTTTTAGATTTCTTATGCCATAGAAAACCAAAAATATCATTTGTCAATAATATTCATTTTTCATGCAAACAGGTATTAGGCATATGGCCTTCATATTTTCACAATTATACTTTACAGTCTATTAAATCATACTTTCGAAATATATAAATGTTAAAATAATATAGATTAAAAAACAGGCACTTTTTAATTTTACTGATTTTTTAATCAAAATTACAACTTTTAATAAACTGTCTTAAATTAGGCATTTGATCAATAGCCCTAATTTTCATTTTATATTACAGGACTTGCATTGAAGTTTTTAATAGATATCCAGTTCACCTTATCAAAACAGAATTATCTTAGCTAGATTATTTTATCACATTCCTAAATTTCTTATCTGTGCTTTTCAAATGAATGGTTAAAATATATGTTGATTTCCCCAAAATATAACAAATGTATCTCCACAATTCTAGATATGACATACTTCTTATTTTAGCTCTATTTCATTAATAGAAATCCTGGCATCATTTTGATTGTTTTAATATAACAATCATTCCAGCTTTACCATGTACCCATTCTTAAATTTCCTAAGGAGAACTGAACAGCACAAGTAAATATTTAACTCTAAATAACATTAACTAAAACAAGTGCAATTTTTAAAATTTAAACTAAATTAGTATTATTCAAAGCCAACAAAAAAAAAAACATGCAGCAAAGCAAGGAAAGCATACTACTACTTAAAAAAAAAAAAAACTATATTGTCATTACTTTACCATATAAGGGTTTCCTAATGAAAAGAGGCAAACAACTTGTACCAAGTATTACAGTAAAATTAAACGACATTTCAATTACAAAATGTAAACAACATAAATAAACCCAACACATTTTATTTAGTTATTTTGTTCTTTCAAAGTACTACACTTTCCAAAGTTGAACCTTATATATAATATGCATAAAATTCATATTTTAGATACGGTACAAATTTATTTGCCAATCTCCTCAAGGAGTTGTTGCTTGGAAAATGCAAGAGAATGTAGATGTTAAGTGATATAATGAATTATTTAAAGAGACAGCAACCTTAGTGTAATAAAGGATAATATCAACAGTATAAAATTAGCTATTTTTGTCAATGTTATATATATATATGTGTATATATATATATATGTACATATATATATGTACAGTCTGAAGCCTATCAGTTTTAGTATTTGGTTCATCATATAAAATCACTAACAAAGATTGTCTCTTTAAATTTTTATTGTATTTTAATCCCCATGCAGAATTTTACAAGCTGGCTTATAAAATGATTTGAAAGTCAATAATATGGTTTGGAGCAACATACCAAAAAAAGTTTCCTACTACGCATTTTCCAAAAACATACAAATAAGGGTTAAAACACAACTTTAGTTTCTATCAGGCAGACAAGGCCTTTACCTGAACCCTAGGAACAAAAGGCGTTGTTCTTCTACTAAGGCTTTGGCTCTGGTAAGCAAAATTAAAGAAAAAAGCAATAAAACAAAACCAAAAAGGACAACACGCTGGAACTAAAAGACCAAAGTAAAATAAACACATAAAACTATCCCTTAAATATACTTTTTCCATAACGATATATATCTAAATTAAGTACTTCAATATAATAAGTTAATTTTGCCAAAATGTTAAAACATATAAAAACTATATAAAATCTTAGAATTTTTAAATGTAATCAACATAACAAGAATTAAGACTGAATGTAAAGTTACACTTTTGGGCTCATGTACTCTGAAAAAATTAGTATAAACATAATCCAAGAGTCAAGAAATTTCAGGTTTCACCCTTAAACACACTACCATAGGAAAAAATCATAGTCCAAGAAGACGTTACATGAAAATGCATCATAGAATTTTAGTGAAAAGTTATTTGTAGAACTGTATGACTTCTCCAAAATTTATCTAACAAAAGTTTAAAAAACATTAGCCAAGTTGGCTTTAGCATTTCTTAAAAGAATAAACACAGTAAGATAAAAGTGTGCAGAAGGCACTAGACTAGTTGATTTATATCTTAAGAATTGATATCAGATTCTAGTATTTAAACATCATTTTTAAACATTTATTAGGTACCACTCAAGATAACACTGTTTATTGCTAATAACACTTATTAATGATAATACCTCATTTCTTTTTGTTTATATAGTACTTTATATATTTCCAAGCTTTTACTGACAATTTATTGCAAGTTCATTGCCTCCAACAACAGTAGGAGGTAGTTGCTATTATGTCTAATTCAAGATGAGGAAACAGAGACAGAAAAGGGGTGCATACAGTTGCCCATACTCAAACAAAAAGTAAGATAGTGTAAAGACAGAAAATAAAGCTGGGTTCTAAAAACCAAACCAAACCAAACCAAACCAAACCAAACCAAGAGAAGAGAAGAGGGAAAGGGAAAGGGAAAGGGAAAGGGAAAGGAAAGGAAAGGAAAGGAAAGGAAAGGAAAGGAAAGGAAAGGAAAGGAAAGGAAAGGAAAGGAAAGGAAAGGAAAGGAAAGGAAAGGAAAGGAAAGGAAAGGAAAGGAAAGGAAAGGAAAGGAAAAGGAAAAGGGAAAGGGAAAGGGAAAGGGAAAGGGAAAGGGAAAGGGAAAGGAAAGAAAAGAAAAGAAAAGAAAAGAAAAGAAAAGAAAAGAAAAGAAAAGAAAAGGAAGCCCAGTTCTGATGAAGGCATTCTATTTCAAATTCTCAGAATAAAATCAAATTTTCTTTCTCTTCTGGCTTATGCTGTATTCACTTTGAAACAGTTTCCAAAAGACACCACGATAATCAGAATTTTGTGCCTTTATTAAGGCATGCCAATGGTTAAATCAGGAACAAAATCAGATGCATATCTCTGGGTTTGGAGATGGATTTCAAGGCATTTAATTCTGCTTCTTTCACCAAGATTCTATCCCATTCCTCATACTTCTCACGGATGTTTCTCTTGTCTAATTCAAAGAGTTATAAATAGAGGTTTCAGACCTTTCCACTGTTATAAGGAAACAGATAATAGGTAGTAGAAGGACTGTTGCCTAATTCAACTATCATCAGATAGAGATTGTTTAAGACATAAATCCAAAAGCCAAAGGAAAGCAGACCTTAAAAGCAGGTATCAATCATATGAGTCATCTTTCTCTCTCTCCAAAAACCAAGGCAGTCTCAAATCTAAGCAGTCTTCCTTTTCATGTAGAGACATTTCCAAAGGAAGAAAGAAATCTTTAGGTATAGAGTATTTACTGATATCTGTCTGCATAATCCTAGGTGGATACTTCTCTAGCAAATGGACCAGGGATGTATGAAATGCATAGAGATTAACAAGGCAAGCTGAACAGAGGGACTAACAAAATACTCTATTTGGAAATAGATTTTATTTTCCTTGCTCTCTCACCTGTTCTGCCTGTTTTAGACCCAAATAACAAGGTAATGGAAGATTGTTGCAAGTAAGTATTACTTCATAAACTAAAAAAAAATTAATTTCAAACAAACAGCACTTTGAAATAAATTAGTCCTTTAAGGCAAACATTTTCCATCTTCTAAAATGGTCTCAAATAAGCAACTCACAGATTTCTGAAATCGGTTGTCTACAATCTATGGTAATTTAAACCTAATCTTCACCTATAAATTTATACATTAAACATATGTTTGTTTTGCTAGTTTTTTAAATTGAGATGAAATTCAAATATCATAAAAGTAACCACTTTAAAGTGTACAATTCAGTGGCATTTAGTACATTCACAATGCTGTGCAACCTCTACCTCCCTCTAGTTTCAAAACTTTTTATTACCCCAGCATATACTGTACCTATGAAGGAATCAATCCCCATTCTCCTATTGCCCCAACTCTTGGCAAGTACTAAGCTGCTTTCTGCCTCTATGGATTCTGGATATTTCATACAGGAATGGTGAAGTATTATATATTGCATTGTAATTTGTAATTAATACTAATTCATGTATTTTAAACAGGAAATATCTGACCTGTAACAAGTCAGCCTCATACAAATGAAGCAGTGAATTTGTACACAATTTGTTTTGCATTTTTTATTGTCTATCTTTAAGGCATTCCTTTTATGCAGTTCTTCTGGAATAACAAGGTTGTGACGATGAGGTATAATAGGTAAAAGCTCAAAGGAAAACACTTTCACTTACAGAAAGGTTTAAAAAGGCTATAGAATTTCTAAGGAGATATGAAGGATACATACCTATTCTTCAGTTACTTATTCCACTTAAAAGGGCATACAAAATGATTATGTACAATATTTACAAATAATCACCAAAAATGGAGTCAAAAAAATATCAAAACAAAGTAACTTGAGGAAACATTATAGCTGTAAATCAACCACAGACTCAGAAGTAAAATAAAATATGATTGTCAATAAGAATCAATGTGTTCCTATAGAAAGAAAGAATTTTGAGCCATTTCTCACTTTTAAAAAGAGTTGAAGGCTATATTTTATCTTAACGCTCTATCAAAAACTAGCCAAAGACTCCAGATTAATTTAAAAATAATGAAAGAACTACAGAAGTAATCCTCTGATGAAGGAAACTGTTTAACTGTGGAAGAACATAAATATTAAAAAGAATCAAAATAAGGGAGTGTTGGCACTGAGAAGGCTAACACATACTCCAGGTGTCCTAAACCTGAGCTCATACTGAGTTTCTCACCAAATGTATTCATGGCACTTTTACAGTTATGCCCTAGGATAATAACAAGCAGCCAGCAGAATTCAAGCATAAAGAGGAAATAAACAGCATAAATTTTCTAAAATCATCCATAGTCTTTAAAAGAAAGTTTAAACAACAATTTAAATTATATGTGTATTTCTATTTGAGAAAATATCAGTCCATGAACTGACATAATATATTAGGAGGTCAGCTCACAAGCCATACAAATTACCTTTGTTCCCTGGAATTAGCAACATCATAAATTTGTAAGTGAGTTATGAGCCCAGGTAAAATCTCACCAAAATAAAAATGCCCAAAGGTAAAATAAGTAGAAGGAGATAGGAACTGTAATGTTGCCTGATGACTTCCTAGGAATTTTCCCAAAAGGTGATATATGCAGATGTATTTCCTAGACTCTACATCATTAGAGCAAACCAAAATTGTCTCCAGTTGGCAGGAATAGGGTTAAATATAAAGGAAATAATATCAGAAGGGTATCTTGCTCATGTTTTTCTGCATGCAAAGAACGAACATAAAATTAAGTTTCATGAGGATAAAATCCATGTCTGTCTTGTTCATTGCTGTATTCCCGGCAACTAGTACTATGGCTGACCTGGGGTCAGAACTTAACAGGTATTTCTTGAATAGATGACTGCACTTGATCTTAGCCAAAAGGCAGAGAAGCGATCTTGAATAGATGATTGAAGATTAATTTCATAAAAACATTTTTGAGGAAAATGTTGGCAATAGATTTTAAGAATCTTAATTTTTTTTCTCTTTTCTTTCATATTGTAATTTTACTTCTGAAAAGTTTCCTGACAAAAGAATTTTGTCTGACCTAACAGAATATGTAAGAGTTATATTCAAGGATTTCCATGGCATCATTGTTTATAGTACTATAAATTAAGAACAAGATGTCCCATAATAGAGAATTAAATTAAAAAATGGTATATTAGCTCTTAAAATCATTTTAAGATAAATATTTAAAGAAAAAAATTTTAAAGAAAAAAGCGTACAATATATTACTAAGTGGAAAAGCAGGTCTCAAAATACTATACACAGATTAATCACTTTTGTTTAAAAACTTGTATGTATGTGAAAAGTTACATTTTAGTGGTAGGATTATAGGTGATTTTTATTTTTTAGTTACTTATCTGTACTCTCTAGATTTACCACAACAAATATGTATTGTATTTATTAATGTTATCTTACTGGAGCATACCCCTTCCAAGTCATAAGAAAATGATAAAATGTACACATTTTAAATTACAATTACATGGATTTTAAACTAACAACATTTATAAATGTACATACTATTACTTTAAATCACTAATTATACCCTTAGAAGTAAAACTTTTAAGTTTTTATTTCCCCAAAATATTTAAGTCTTACCTTTCTAGTATATTCATTCTGAACCATGATAAAAAAAAAATAGCTGAATTTGCAATTTGTTTAAATGCCTGCATTAGGCTCCTCAATCTCCCCCCACCCCCCACCTGCCTCCCCAGTCCAATTTCTATAGGGGCTTGGGATTTCAAAGACGGTAACAAAGCGATACTTACTTACTATGGAAGTCTAACTTCTACTCCCTCCTCCACCAACTGAAGCCAACTATACACACATACACACACACACACACACACACACACATTTATGTACTGGCATCATCCAGCCATCCTAAGCATTATTTAAAGATGGACTATTTGAATGGAGCCATAATGATTTAATTAAAAAGGTTAATATTAGCACTTTCTAAAATGGTGTAAGAAAACACACATACATTTGTAACTATAAGTGACATCTGTGCTGTAAATATATGTAAAAGAATAAGCAGAAAGATGCTACTTATTATAGAAAATGAAAGAAAGACCACTGTCTTCAAATGAAAAAGATCACTCTATGAGAGAAAGGAAAAGAAAATAATAAAGAAATCAATTTTAGTAAGACATTTACAAGCTCCTAATAGTATCTCAACTTCTTTCTTGCATAATTTTTCTGTTATTGTCACCTTTGTGATCAAAACAGTCCCAGAATGGACATGTCTAAGAACTATTTCAATAATTTTAATGTTAGCTCTGCTTATACTTCCTATAGCTTTTAATTAATAAAAATTCTTCAGTAAAAATCAAATACCTCTCCCACCCCCCAAAAAATAAAAGGAGAAATTTCACAGCTGATTAAACAAAAAGCTTTTTCTATTACTCTTAAAATATCAGCCCAAGAATAGTTTAATTTTCAATTATAACATTTTTTATCCAAAATTCAATGTCTGGATTTTGAGAATCTAAATAGTTCTTAATACATATAAAATTGCAAGTTTAGTAACTCATCAACATGATGTTTCTAAAATACAACTGGATGAATTTATATATTTTAATATTTTAAATAGTTTAAAAAGAGAATGGCAACTGAAGAAATTGATAAAAAGTGAGGGCTCAAATTTGTAAAGCTCTTCTAATATGGACAGAAAATGCCTAATTGAATTTTTAATTTTTATATAAGGTGTTCAAATTAGGGATCCCTTACTATGAAATCACCCAGTATACTCAGTTATCTATTATATATTTCCCCATTTACTGAGTATTGTCTGTTGACCAAAGCTTCTCAAATATCATTATACTTACAGCAATATTCATACCCCAATGATTTACTATGAAATTCATACCAAATTTCCTTAAACTTGAAAAGCAGGGAATGTATAAAATTTACTTTCATCTTAAATATACCATCTTTGTACAGTACTGCAATGTGATTTCTCTCAAAAGTCTAGGACAAATTATAGTCATTTTAAGATAGTGAGCAAATATCATGACCTTGAATTTTGGAATAAAATTACTAAGGTAAAGAAGGTTTTAGATATCTCTACAAATTCTCTCACTGAATTCCAGAAAATCTAATATACTTTAATAAAGAAACTCTATGCTAAATAATTAAAATTAAATTTCAATTAATCAGAACTACTAGAATGAGAAAACTGATGGTTAAAAACACAATTACATTCTAAGAAGAAGTTGGTTTACAAAAAGCTATTGTCATATGGTAATAACATTACTTGGTATTTCAAAAAGAGAAATTAATGTAGTGATTACATACTGAAAGTTGTCCAGATAAGTATTGTGGAACATCCCTCAACATGCCAGGACTCATGGGAGAGGTAACGGAAATAGAAGGGCGATCCATTTTTTGAGATTCAAAAGAGCTAGAACCTGAAATGGTAATTAAACATAAAGAACAATAATGATGACTCTTCATTAGTACTTAATAATCTTTACCATATGTCTTTTAAATTATCTATTTATTTAAAATGTCCACAAATGTCATTATATAGACCATTTTCTTAGCCACAATGTTCCAGATATACTTACAGCTATTTTTTTTTAAAGATTTTATTTATTTGACACAGAGAGAGAGAGAGAGAGAGAGGGAACACAAGCAGGGGAAGTAGGAGAGGGAGAAGCAGGCTTCCCGCCAAGCAGCGAGCCTGATGCGGAGCTCGATCCCAGGACCCCAGAATCATGACCTGAGCCGAAGGCAGACGCTTAACGACTGAGCCACCCAGGTGCCCCAACTTACAGCTATTTTTTGAAGCATAAGTACAGCTGAAGGATTCTCTTAAGACCAAGAGTGAAACATTTTCTCTGCCAATTATAGTAGAGACAGACCTCTACATCAGGACTTGGTTACCTTGTCTGTTATGTGTATACTAAATTCATATCTTATAATAACATATTAAGAAAGTTTTAAAAATAGAAACTTAGGAAAAATCAAAACCTAAACCAATAAAGCAACTTGAAGATGGTCTATACTTGTAATTCTAAAAACATAAGTACTAGAGGGTGCCTGGGTGGCTCAGTTGGTTAAGCGACTGCCTTCGGCTCAGGTCATGATCCTGGAGTCCTGGGATCGAGTCCCACATCGGGCTCCCTGCTCGGCAGGGAGCCTGCTTCTCCCTCTGACCCTCCCCCCTCTCATGTGCTCTCTCTCTCTCATTCTCTCGGTCTCAAATAAATAAATAAAATCTTTAAAAAAATTAAAAAATTAAAAAAAAACATAAGTACTAGAATGTTAATCATGAAGCCTTTCTGGGAGGTGATAATTTCAAACCACATCTGGAAAAGCATATAATAAATTAGGCAGAAAGGAAGTAAAGGTCCTTGAAAAAAGAGACAGCAGAGCAGAAAAAGCAGAGCCTCAACACCCAGAAGTGATATGTATGAATTTATCTCTACGGAAAGGAAGGAACAATTCAGAAAGTGAGTCAAAATGTAGCTAATGGGATAGCGGGGGGAATTAAGTGCCTGGAATTCTGGGCTACACATTTTGGCACTAATTGACTATCAAAGCTAGCTCTTCTGAATGAGGCAATAACTACATTTGCAGATGACTTTATCACTTACTTAAAGCATGGATTGATTTAAGAGCGATGGAAAATACTTAAAAACAGGTGGAATTCAATAAAACAATAATAGGAAATGTTGTGAAAATGGAATGGAAAGAAAGAATTCTGGTGATAGCACAAAATAAACAAAGGAGGACTCAGAAACTAATTAGATAGGAGAGATAAAGGGAAGAGGGGAAACTTGAAGATTTCAAGCCTTGTAGCCAGACATGAGATCAAGAAAGTCCTGGGCGCCTGGGTGGCTCAGTTGGTTAAGTGACTGCCTTCGGCTCAGGTCATGATCCTGGAGTCCCTGGATCGAGTCCCGCATTGGGCTCCCTGCTTGGCAGAGAGCCTGCTTCTGCCTCTGACCCTCCCCCCTCTCATGTGCTCTCTCTCTCTCATTCTCTCTGTCTCAAATAAATAAATAAAATCTTTAAAAAAAAAAAAAGAAAGTCCTTAAGGTCTGTCTTGTTCTCTGCACGGAACACTGCTGATATTCCTTGGGATGTGGAACCCTGGAGATAGTCCTGTGCTTAAGGGAATGGGTGGAGATGTTACTTTGTAACACGGTGACCCCGTGGTACCTCTGAGAAATCCAAGGGGAGATGTCAAGCAGGTAATGGGATCTATGGATGGGACCAAATGTCAAGTAGATATTAGTGTTAGAAATCAAAGTGTAAAGTGTCTGCTGGGTTGGAGCCATAAGAGGATAAAATACACCTCTAGGAAGAGTACAGTATAAACTGAGGGGGAAACTTCAGGCTTTGGGATCAGAAGTGGGGAGACTATGGACTCTGAGAAACAAACTGAGAGTTCTAGAGGGGAGGTGGTGGGGGGATGGGTTAGCCTGGTGATGGGTATTAAAGAGGGCACATACTGAATGGAGCACTGGGTGTTATACACAAACAATGAATCATAGAACACTACATCAAAAACTAATGATGTAAGGTACGGTGATTAACATAACATAATAAAATAAAATAAAAAAAAGAAATACAGTGGTACCTTATATAATATTTAGAAGTGGAAAGAAATAAGCTCAGTTTCTACACGTTAAGCTTCAAGTAACAGGAAGACACTTAACAGAACATATTATTTAAACATCCAAGCATAAAGGAATGATGACAGATCATCTTGGTACTATAAACCTAGGAGTCATGTGGCAATCAAAAGCATTAGGAAGAGAAGAATTTACTGAGGAACTAAGGACAGAGATTAATAATTGGGCCTATTCTTCAACATTTAAAGAATAAAGGATTGATTCTAATTTAATTTGATAAAGGACCCTTATCTCCTCAGAAACAATTGTAAAATTGTAGACCAGGGGATTTTTTTTAATAGCTATAATAAGATAAAGGGTTCCACCCTGCTCATACAATATGAGTGATGTTACTTAAGTGAATAAAAGTTGGACTCTTGTAAGAAATACGTGTGATAATGTAGGCACATCAACCACAATCCCAGGCACTCAGTAAAATGGGAGCAATGATGATAATGATGATGATATCATTATATCAGTACAGTTGACCCTGAGGGTTAAGGGCGCTAACCCCCCGCACAGTCAAAAAAAACCCGCAGTAACTTGTGACGCCTCCAAAACTTAACTACCAATAGCCTACTATTGACCAGAAGACGCACCAACAAACAGCTGATTAACACATATTTTGTACATTTATATATATTATATACTGTATTCTTACAGTAAAGTGAGCTAGAGAAAAGAAAATGTTATTTAAACAATCATAAGGAAGAGAAAATACATTTATAGTAATACACTGTATTTACTGAAAAAATGTGTACATAAGTGGACCCCTGCAGTTCAAACCCATGTTATTCAAGGGTCAACTGTATTTATTTATTGTTATAGTTTTTTTGTGATCATGGTATTATTTTGGATAAAATGATTTAGTACGTAGCTAAAGGTACTAAATCAAGTAAGTCATTCGATCATATTTTAAAATATAGTGCTACGCCATTCCTGGGGCGCCTGGGTGGCTCAGTTGGTTAAGCGACTGCCTTCGGCTCAGGTCATGATCCTGGAGTCCCGGGATCGAGTCCCGCATCGGGCTCCCTGCTTGGCAGGGAGTCTGCTTCTCCCTCTGACCCTCCTCCCTCTCATGCTCTCTGTCTCTCATTCTCTCTCTCAAATAGATAAATAAAATCTTTAAAAAATAATAAAAAAAATAATAATAATAAAAATAAAATATAGTGCTACGCCATTCCCAAAGTATTTCACCTCTCTGGTAAAGATTTTAAAGACACTTGTAATTGTGATATAAAAGTAAAAAAATCTTTTAATAGTATGTTCTTAATTATTGTAGGATCCGATCACTTCTCATCACCTCATTGCTACCACCAATAGCCTAAGTCACCATATAAAATACTAAATATAGAAATAGTTCTCTCACTACTCTCTCTGCTTTCACCCTTGACTCCATTTAAACTATTTTCAACACAATAGCCAGATTTTAAAACATAAATCTCTCCTCAAAACCATCGTATGTAGCTACTGATTTCCCACAGAGTAAAAGCCCAAAACAAAGCAGTCTTCACAGCGGTTTACAAACTCTATGCAATTTGGCTGCCAGGACTCCCCTATCCTTCATCCTTCCTGCTGCTCATCCTTCATCCTTCCCGCTGCTCAGTCTAGTGCAGCAACACTGACCTCCTTGCTTTTCCTCAAGTGCATCGTAGGCTTTCCTGCCTGAGAACCTCTGCACCACTTGGTCCCTGTACCTGGAAAGTTTTTCCCCCAGATAGCCATTCCTCCAAATCTTCGTTCCAATCATTCCTTCTCAGTATGGTCTCTCCTGAGCAACATATTTCAAATGGCAACCCTTCTCCTCTCTTCTTTTACAATATCCCTTACTCTCAATCAATCAAGAAACTTAGTTCACTGGGAAAAAAGCCCTTTGTTTAACATCTGAAATAGCACTCAAACAAAAGTAATAAAAAGCGTCTATGTATTTAACATTACTTAAACTTACTTGTCTATTGTTCCATTTCTACCATGATGCCAAATCAGAACTACTATCCTATTTTCTAAAAATGTAAATTTGGATATTATTCACTAGATTGTCCCAAGGATCCCCCCCACCCCACTCACTGAGGGTTAGTTTACAAAGTAGTAAATTTTAAAATTAGAAGAAATTAAGGAAGGAGGGGGGTAAAACTTTTAGGAGAGATGGGTGTGTTCATTATTTTTATTGTGATGATGGTTTCATCTGTACATCAAAATTTACCCCGTTGTGCACTTAGGTCCAATTTATTGTAGTGTACCTTAATAAAGCTATCTAAAAACATGTAGCAGTTAAGAGGGCATGATTAAAATAAAACTATCTTTAAAATATTATAGAATTTGTATTTTATCCCATAATAACATGAAATAATGCTAAATTTTTCATTTGTATAATAACTATATATTTGATAACAAGATTATTCTATTTCTTACTTCATATTAATAGATAAAATAATTCATCTGACCCCTGAAAAATGACACTATTAATATTTTCTTCTAGAATGAATGAGACTTACTGGACTCCAGTTGTGCATGTGTGCCATCAGGGATTCTAGGGATATCTCTGAAATGATAGAACAAGAAAAACAAGAAATTGTTTCAACAATTAATGCAACTGCTATTTTGATGATCATCAACTTATATATAACAGGAGAGTGTAAAATGAACAAAATTGTATATGATAGTAGCATTATATAAGTAAGAGAAAACAAGACGTAGTACTTTATTGCTAATCAAAGTATTCTGAACTAACCTCAACTGCTTAGAAAGGAATAAACAGTCATATGCATTTATAGCAGATTCATAAAAACATACTTTATTTTCTATGTGCTTTACTACATGATCATCCATTCTAATAAATTTTTGAATTAAAGATAGGTTTTATGATATATTTTAATTCTATTCTATTCTTTAATCAATAACATTGAAGTATAAATAAAATATCATCACAAGAAAAATTTAAAGATTCAGATTGCGAATGAAATTTTTTAAATGTAATAACTCCATTGAGGAAAAAATGCAAACATGTTTTTCATTGGGACTTACAGATGGTAACTGCATTTATGTCGAAAGTATGTACATTTTTGTTTGAGATTTGCCAAGATTGGTAGAAAAAATTTTAATAGTTAAGGTCATTCATAAAAGTACATAAAAGAATATTTAAGATATTAAAAATATGATTAGAGGATCCTTTAATACCAATAAATATATTTGATTAATATATTAATATTTGATTAATACCAAATATAAATATATTTGATTAATATATTTGATTAATAACCTGATACACAGCAGTTTTACCATATTACAAAACTATGAATAGAAAAATGAAAAAGATACAATTTCGTGTGCCAGATTCATTACTTTGAAAGGAACATTTCAATAAAACTAAGTTACTTTTTACACACAAACAATGAATCATGGAACACTACATCAAAAACTAATGATGTAATGTATGGTGATTAACATAACCTAATAAAATTAAATTAAATTAAAAAAACTAAGTTACCAACATAAATCATTTTCTCCAACATAAAAAGAGATCAAAATAATATAGTCCAATCATTTCCTAAGTGAAAGACAACTGGCCATTGGTACTCTACAACAAAAAAAGAATTTTTATAGCTTCTACCCTCAAATACTTTTACCCCAAACTTGCACTTAATAATTTGCTGTCATTGTGTATATTTTTTCTATTGCTTTTACTTAGTTATAGGTATATCTCTTACATCGGCCTAGAATATAAGCTTCTATAAGGGAAACACTGCTGTGATATTTAATGAGAAATTATCAGGATACAGCACAAAGGATTATATTTATTGTCAACTTTTGGAAATTGCTAATTTAATCTATAGGCAAAAAATTACAAAAGCCAAGGAGTACTTTGGTTCTGTTTCCTTAAACACATCATGTTGTTCCTTAAACTGTTCCTCTATTTAGGAATAGTGTGTCCTTGGGACCTCTCTTTCCTATGTTGAAATCTCCATTTTGAAAAAAAAAAATATGTAAAATTCATTGACCCTCATTTTCACAATGTAGAGGACCATACTTCATGAACTTTCTTTTAAAAGTAATTGTTATTATAGTCCCCTTCTCCTACTATGCCTTTAGCCACCTACTAAGCTACTAAGACAATAAAAATAATAAACACCTAAATATTTCTTCTTCTTTTATAATAACTGTGTATTCTAGCATGATCAAATAAAGAAATGTCATGATTTTTGGTGAGCTGTTTTAGCAAAAAAGGAGAAAAGAAGCACTGTCCTCAAAACAATAATTTTTATGGAGCAATCAGATATTTTTAGATTGCACACTACAAATTGTATAACAGTAGTCAACTTTATAAGGTATGTGCATAAAGTACACAAACCGACTCACCCAATAGGTCTTGAAACAAGAAGCTCCACTTGTGGTTCAGGTTTGGATTCCAGAATGATGTTATATACTTCCTCAAATGTGGCTCCTTGCAATAACCTTCCATTCCATTCTAATACTTCATCACCTATAGTGTATTCAGGTAATGATAATTTTAGAAAGAAAAACTAATCCCATAAAATGCACTTGAAACCAAAGCATCCTTAAACTGCAATGAACTCAATAGAATAAAGTCACCATTATGGAATAAGACATACTGAGAACAGCTCCATTGGCATAAAATTTGATGGTAAGGATGATTAGTACTTTTACCCAAAAGGACAAAGGTCTGAGGAATAAAGTTATGTAAAAGTTATCTCTGTGGTTTCTTAATAGGAATCTAATTCTAGAAATTATTAAAATCTGTTAACTCTTTGAAAATTTTACGACTATATTCTAGGTTTGTCAATATATATGCAACTGAGCACCTTGTCTAAAATTTCTCTTTTTTTTTTTTTTAGATTTTATTTATTTATTTGGGAGAGAGCACACGTGAGAGAGAGCACAAGCGGGGTAGTGGAGGGGGGTGGGGAGCAAGGGAGAGAGGGAGAAGCAGACTCCCTGCTGAGTGAGCAGGGAGCTCGATGCTGTGCGGGCCTCAATCCCAGGACCCTGGGACCATGACCTAAGCTGAAGACAGACACTTAACCAACCACCCATATACCCCTACAGTTTCTTATAAAATGTTTAAAGCTTAGCATCTTATCATATTCTCTCCAAGGGACTCAAGGATCTCTCCAATAGTATCCATTACCAAAGAGATAAGGAGTCACACATTGTAGGAAATATGTATTTATCCATAATGTTTGTTTCCTAAACTGTTGGAATTTTTTCAAAAGAAAAGTAAAGCCTTATGGGAAGCAAAATAGATTAATACTAGATACAAAATAAGAATATCCATCAGGAAAAAAAATCAGTAAATATAAAAATCTTTCTATCTGATGTGACTCAAGAAATAATAGTTACACTTGCCATTAAGAATAAAGATTTTTTTATTTAAGTTAAAAATGAGTTCCTTGTTTTTGGTCAAATCATTTCTAAGTGAGGACAACTTTTTTATAACTACTTGAGTTTAGCAGTTTAAATATAAATAATCCAAGATAGAAACCTACCTGGTCTAAGATGCCCTACAGTATCAGCTAAACTTCCCTTTTTTACTTTGGTAATAAATGCACAAAGCCGACCTGATTCAGTCATCTTTCCTCCTACAACCTGTTTAAAAGAGAAAAGTGTTAAAACAGGCATATTGTTCAAAGGAACATAGCTGAAGATTCAAGTAAAAAATAACTAGACAATTTGTAGCTTTTAAAACTGTAATATTCTAAAAATAATTTTTAATAATATAGTGTTATTGGAAACTGAGTACATGTTCCATAAGTGGACTCTTTTGAGATATTCTAAAATTTTCACAATTTAATCTAGTATTTGTGAAAAAAATATTGGGGAAATTGGAGAGGGAGACGAACCATGAGAGACTATGGACTCTGAAAAACAAACTGAGGGTTCTAGAGATGGGGGGGGGATGGGTTAGCCTGGTGATGGGTATTAAAGTTCTGCATGGAGCACTGGGTGTTACACACAAACAATGAATCATGGAACACTACATCAAAAACTAATGATGTAATGTATGGTGATTAGCATAACATAATAATAAAAAAAATTACATACCTTAGAAAGAATTTAATAATTTGTACTTTCTCTTAGAGAATTATTTTTATCATTTCCCAAAACATGCTATTACAGTATTATAGAATTATATTAATGTTTCTAGTTATAGATTTCAAATATCATAACCACATAAATATTTGTTACTTTGACTATAGTTATGATAACCCACCAAAATTTCATTATTTAGTAATCTTTTAGGCTCATTGATAATGTAAATGATAATGATGGATTTTTCCTAAGAAAATTACAAAATGTACTTAATCTCATTAGAACTCATGTAAACTTTACGCTATTTGCATCCCAATTTTTCTATTTTTATGTTTCTATTAATATATATCTTTTAGAAAGAGGAAAAACAAATGTTAGCAATAATGCTGCAGAGTCATATGTGTACCTGTAAGACCGGCCCCTTACAAACTTAATGCTTGTGATCAACTACCATTCAACCAATATATCAACTTTATAGCATGTTAAGCAAATAACAGTAATTGACTTCATTAATTAGTTTTTTTCCCTCTAAATTGAGTGAACAATATCTGAATTTTAAAAATCACTGGCTTTTTCTATGTATTTATTCCCAAGTTGCAGTGAAACACCCCCAGTTGCAGTTCAGTTCATACTAACTAATTAGTGCTATGTTTGATTCTGAAAATTAAATGTATAGATATCATGGGCTGACATCCTTCTGTTAATATTTTAAAACTTTCTTGGCTTGATAAACTTCAATAATAATAATTAATGATACTTTATACTATGATTATTATTATTATTAAAATCTTACAGTGTGCTAGTCACTGTGCTAAATGCTTGTATATTGCTTTATTTAAGTTTATTATAATAATTCAATAAGCATTATTATCTCCATTTTACAGATGAGAAATCTGAGGCTAACAGAAGCTTAGTTGCCCAATGTCATGTTGCTTGTAATGGCCGTAGTCAGGATTCAAGCCAAGACTCCCTAACCTCTACTTTTCACTGCTCTAACACTCTATTGGACAGATCTGGATTTAAATCTCACCTTCATCATCATCTTTGTGACCGTGGGCAAGTTATGACACCTCTCTAAGCCTATTTCTCATCTGCTGCATTAAATAATATGATAGAAGTAAAATGCTCAGATGAGTGCCAGCTACATGGCAGGCACCTAATAAATGTTTGTTGGCCAATTCCACTTATACCCAAAGTTTTCTAATATCTCACTATATTCTATAGGGCAACTTCTGTGGTAATTGCTTAACTCTAAAAACCACTTACTCTTTTTTCATTTCAGTTTTTAATTCACCATACAGATGAACAATAACAACAACAAAAAACCACCACCACCACCAACAACAACAACAAAACCCCAAAACCACAAAGTTCTGTTTGATCTACTTACCAAATAACTGTCTGGTATTTTACAGTCAAATATGAATTAATAGTTATATTAAATCTCCTACCATAAGTATTTTTGAGTTTCCAGACTTTAAACAGTATACTCTTTCTCACACACACAAATACACACACACCCACATTTTCCTACCCTTAAACAAAAATTATATTGTTTGCTAAAAAACAAAATTCAACCACATAAATTTGAAGATCTAATTGGCTTTATTAAGTGATTCATGAATTGGACAGCATCCCATCTAGCAAGCAGAGGAGAGCTCTTCTGAGGTCAACAAAAGAAAGGTTTTCAAAGGCTGAGAGAGGGCATTAAAAAAAAAAATAGAAGAAAGGAATTTATTAGCAAGGAATGCACTGTTAAGGCAAGACTGCCCTCCAAAAGGGGGTCTATCAATAAATTTCCTAGTATTGACCAGGAAATTCCATGTTGACTGGATAGAGGTTACACTGCTGGGAGACTGAAACTGCATTAAGCTAGGGATTAAGTTTTGTTTAACTGACATGGGGCCTTAACCTAAGTGATGCTATTTGAGGCCTGTGGTTTTCCTTTAAACACCATGTCATAAATATACTACATTTCCCAAGTTTGCATATTTAGTCATTGGTTAAAACCATTGTTTTAACAGAATATAAACACAGATACAGACTTAAAGGACAGCACTGTATTCAGTATTCAAGCATATCACTCGAGTTGTATTTTCCAAAATCATATATACAAGTATTATCGTGGAATAAATAATACTTGGAAAATGAAAAGGTTTTGGGTCATGAGTGCAAATACTTGGGAATTCTTGAAAATGGGAAAGAAATACTAAGTTGGCATAAGTTGGAAAGAGTTATTAAATTTTTGCTTTTCTCATAAATCAGTAAAGGAGTAGGGAGCCAAAATCTCATATTTCATCACATACCTTCAAGCCAAGCATTGCTCCTGAATCTCGAGGCACACTTCCATCTTTTAGACGCTTATTTAACAAAATGCGACCAATTAAACGATCTCCATCTTTAGATGGCTGCCACGTCACAGGGTGCTGACATATTGCATCAACAAACAAAAAAAAATTAATGTTCTTTTATGATAAATAACCCTTTGTTGTACAGTCTCTCTAAACTCCAGATTTCCAAAGAGTTATGATTACACAAACCAGTTTGCATTCAAAACACTGATCAAAAGGGCTTACTACGTTATGCTGACATGCTCCAAATCTCAAGATTTTTCAAAATCCAATTACTGCAAATTCTTACAGTGCCCTGACACATTATTGCAGTTATATGTTCTATGAAATCTGAGAAATCTTGAAAATATATGCAAACTATCTACATGCTGAAGATTAATTAAAAATTCACATGACAGAAGAGATAGATTGAAATTCTATGAGGTTAAATTCATTTAAAAATGATATTTTAATATTCAAACACTATTGGAGACTTTGAAAGACTTAATTACAGTATAAGTTAAAAGGTAAAATTATATTAATACATCAAATTTGAGCCTATGATGAGGGCTTCTTTGAAATAGGTTTTTAGATTAAAATTATAAAAATACACAAGCCCCAGTAACTTTTCAGCTGAATCTACATGACAGAGAGAGAGACCTAATTCAAAGGTGAGGCTAGTTTATATTTCTCACTTTTTGCAGGTTCATTGATTCTTTCAGGTCTTTGATCTATTTAGTAAATTAAATTTATTAGATAATTCAATGGTATCCACTGTTAAATAAGCTTGAAAATGTGAGGAGTTTCTCTCTTTCTCAGGGCAGAGCCAAGCCCTTTATAAATCATAACACCGTCCATTATGAATTATATGTCAAATAACAAAGTAAACGATTTGTGTAATCATAGTTTCAGTCATCTAAAAGTAACATGCACATCTTCATGCAAAATTTGGCAGGCAAAAGACAAGTTCTAGTCAATCACATCTATATGGTAAAAAGATTTCAAAAGTCTCACTATTCTAAAAGCAAAAATAATAAATACCAAAGCAGATGGCAATGGTTCTAGTACTAATTAATACTACATTAAAATGCTATGACAATAAAACAAAAGAGCAAAACGACAGTGAAAGGGAAAAAAGAAAAACAACTTTTTCTGTGCAAACAGACCCAATTATCTCCCTTTTGCCTGGGATTGAAACTATTAATAATTTAATTTTCATCCCAAGGAAAATATATGCAAGCAATCAAATAAGCCAATCCAAAAATTCTTTATATTTGTGGTTTATAAAAACATCACAAAGTTCTCTCATGCGACCATAGACAGAGCATTCCTTTGTTCCTAAATTTTTTATTTCATTTACTTATTTTTTGGTATGCCGTCGAACAATAAAAACAGCAAAGCAAGCAAGAAGTATTTTGGTTTGTTTGTTTGGGTTTTGTTTTTCTTTTCTGCACCTTAAGAAATGCTACATTGACCCTTGAAATGCCCTGTCCTTTTATTATGTTCCATTTGAATGAGTGACAGAGAGCAAACGAAGACCAAATGAGCAGGTTAAAAGGCAGGCTCCACAATCTCAGTACCTTATCACTATGGCTATGCTCCTCGTTAAGGGTTGTGCTACTACAGGTATCTACCCCAGAGTCCTTAATCTGAGGCTCAGACCATTCCAAGTCCTCTTCCAAAGAGTGGCCACCAAAGTACATCATTTTCTTTTGTCTCTCAGACTTGGTGTTAGAGTCCGACAAAACTGCCTGCTCACTAGTTTTTCTTTTTCCCTTTTGACTGTCCCCTACAGGTGTGGGATAAAAATAAAAATAAATAAAAATAAAAAAAAAGATACAAAAAAGAAAACATGCAAAGGTGTAAATAAAAAAGGAAAAGTGAAATGAAAAACGAAAATTGAATAGTAAGGCTCCACATGTCTCACCAAAGACATTGGGGATGCCTCACTGCTATGCCAAGACGTATGGTCCAACCAGTTGTAATCCATGTCTCCTGTGAGAGTCAGACAGACAAAGAGTGCAGTAAAGGAGACAGCGAAAGATAGGACAGACAAAGACATTATAAACATTTTAAACTATGTGGTCCTGTCTGGTTTCAAGAACTTTGTCTGCAGCACTCACTATATATACCAAGAGAAAGCTAAGGTTCCAAATGAGTAAAATTTATAGAATGCAGAATATAAAGTTTATGTACTCTAGATGGATCCTACAGATCAAAAGTTCTGCAAGAAGAGAAAAGGCATATAAACAGGAATAGAAATGAAAAAATTATATATTCCAAAAAAGAAAAAGATTATCCACTGTGTCTATTATTCATGCTATTTTTTTCCATGCTGGCCTACAGACATGAGGTCGTTCTCCAAAGATTAAGGAACATTTTCAGAATTAAACAGCGGTTTGCCAATAACCACTATAACAAAAAACCAAGTAATTAAATGTTGTTCCTGGAATGTAGTATGATATTCTTTATAATGCTGAAACCTCCCAAAAAATTGGGGTGGTTTAAAAAAGAATTGGTTACACAAAAGATTAATTTTGTATGAAAATGAAAAAAAACAGAATCACTCAATTTCTATTAGTAAAAATAAAATAAACTTTACTTAAATATCATGAATTACTTAAAATTCTTTGAAATAATTTTTCAACTTTTTTGCAGAAATTGCATTCTCATAAAAAGTAAATTTTCTTTTAAAATGATTTTGTCAAACAATGTATATAATTAGCAACTAAGAATGAATATCCATTTCCCAAATTTATGTGCTCCTTATTTGCTTTACATTTAAAAAAAATTCTTTTTAGTCTATATGTGTACATATGCATCTTTTTAAGCTCTAGTCATATTTTCTTTTACTTAAAAATATTTACTAAATACCTTCCATTTGCTATGTATTGTGCTAAGCTCTAGCATAAGGAGTAAAACAATGAGACACAGAACACAGTGAAGATAAACACAGTAAATAAATCATGAATGCCATACAGGAAAGCACACTATGAGAGAGTACAATAAGTGCAAAGGGCAGAACTCTCAAAACACCATGAAAGAGTATAATAAGATATAATGTAGATTTTGGGGTCAGCAATGACCTCTAAAGAAGTGATCTTTAAAATGAGAAATGAAATATGTGGCCTAAAAGACAAGTAAGGAGATAGGTAGATGGAAAGTGGAGGAAAGAACATTCCAGGAAGAAGCAACAACAGGATACTGTAGAAAAACTGATGGAACACCAGTGTGTCTGAACCAAAAAGAATGCTAAGTGAGAGGGCACCTGGGTGGCTCAGTTGTTAAGTGAATGCCTCTCGCTAAGGTCATGGTCCCAGGGTCCTGGGATCGAGCCCCGTATCGAGCTCCCTGTGCCACGGGAAGCCTGCTTCTCCCTCTCCCACTCCCCCTGCTTGTGTTCCCTCTCTCACTGTATCTCTCTCTGTCAAATAAATAAATAAAATCTTTAAAAAAAAAAAAAAAAGGAATGCTAAGTGAAGTGAGGCAGCACAAACCAGCTTAGAGAGGACTTTTTATGCTATATTAAAGATTACGGATTTCATTCACTGAAGGATTTTAAGCAAGATGTTGACATGAACTGATTTACATTTTAAAAAGATGAATCTAAGTACTAACTACAGATTGGGTTGGAAGACACCAAGGTTAATAGGCATTTGCAATAATCCATGGGACAGGTAATTATAGTTTGAACAAAGGTGACAGCAACAGATAAGGTATGAAAAGGGAACTGAGAGATGTTTTGGCGGTAGAAATAAGAGAAGAAAGACTGAAGAGGGGCATCTTGACTGGCTCAGTCAGTAGAGCATGTGACTCTTGATCTCAGTGTCACAAGTTTGAGCCCCATGTTGGGTGTAGAGATTACTAAAAAAAAAGAATAAAAAATTTAAGAAAGACTCAAGAGTCAAGGAGAAGTCCCAGGTTTCTGGCATTAACAACTGAATGGAAGGAAAGACTACTTATAAGATGGAGAAAGCTGGAGGAAGAGCACTTTTTATTAGAAAGGGGTAGGAAGGAAATACTCCATTTCATAGACTCTAAGATGTCACTGACTATAGAATTCACACATACTAAAATGATAGAAATATGCATCTTAGAATTTATTCAATATGGTGATTGATTTTGGATATATTATTAAAAATATCTATAAGTTATTCAAGTGGGCATATAAAAAATCGATTTGTTAAGCTGTAACAAAGAAAAGTCCGAGCTGCAGACATAAATTGGAATTATTAGCACACAGATAGGACTCAGTGGATCATTTAGGAACAGAAGGTAAAATAAGATATGAAGAGGAGCCCGACTGAATCCTAACATTTAGAGTTTGGTTTGAGAAAAAGAGAGGCTGAGAAAGAGCATGCCAGAAAGAAAAGAAGGAGGGAGGGAGAGGGAGTTCCCCAAACCAAACAGAAGAGAGTTTCCTCAGCAGGAGGAGAAAGGAACTATGGTGAATGATTTCTGTACAGTAGGTAAGATAAGGAACAGAAAAGTGTGCATTTGATGTGGCAACATGAAGATCAGAAGGAGGCTAGAGAAAACTTTGGAAAGAATTATGAAAATTAAAATCTGTTGAAGTAACTGAAAAATCAAAGGGAGACAAGGAAGTAGAAAAATTGTGTGTAGACAAATGGTTCACAAAGTGAAATCCCCTAAATAGCATAATCAACATCACCCTGGGACTTGTTAAAAGTGCCAGATTTTTAGGCACCAGCTGAGACTTAAGTAATCAGAAATTCTGTAGATAAGGCCTAGCAATCTGTTTTTTAACAACCCACCAGGTGATTATGATCTCAATAATGTTTGAAAACCGCTGGAGATAATTCTCTTAAGAAGTTTATTTGTGAAGGATGATGCTATTGGGCTAAATACACAAAATTTACTTTGTAGGGGAAAAATACTCTTTAATCTACAAAATAGACAAGTGCTTCCCAATCTTTCTCATGGCACAAATTGACAATTAAAATTTTATGGCTACCCAAAAAGTTAAGAGTATTTGTATCTCAGAAAACCCTTTGAAAATACAATATTGCTCCACACAAAAGCACTGATAAATCTCCAAACTGAATTAAAAACAGTGTGGAAACCCTAAAGGAAAATTCTTGGCTGGTTTATGTGAAGGTGTGAGAACCTAGCTCACAATGTCTCTTTCTCCCAATGCCTACAACCTACCAAAAAAGGAAGAAATGAAGTTCTTTCCTGAGTAAATAAAGGACAAGCTGTTTAACCATTTGAAGCCAAAGCAAAAATATTTGACTGACCAAAAAAAAAAAAAAGTGTTATATATGGTAGGTAGCCAGTAAACATTTGTTGAATGAGTAAAAGATAGAATTACTTAAGAATTAAATACAGTAACCAATGTAAATCATACACAAAATAGTCCTCAACCACTAGGACTATTAGTATTAATATTCTTATTTTGTATAGCTTCAAAGGGCAGAACTAAGATAATAAAATATTCTTCCTTTAGTAACATTTCAAAAATGTATTGCTAGGCTTTCCAGTTCCAGAACAAGAAAAAGAAGACACAGAAAGAACCTAATAGAAATTTTAAAACTGAAAAATAACAAATTGAAAAAGCAAATGGATGACCTCAACTGTAGAATGCAGAAAACAGAGGAACAACTCAATGAACTTGAAAATAGAACAACAGAAATCACTCAATCTGAAAAACATAAAGTAGACTAATAAAATAAAATAATAAAATAAAATAAAAATAAAAATAAATAAAATAAGCGAGGACTCCGGGGCTTGAAGAATTACAACAAAAGATCCAAAATTCACATCATTGTAGTCCCAGAAGGAGAGGAAAAAGAAGCTAAGCCTGAAAAAGTATTTAAAGAAACAGTGACTGAAAAGTTCCCAAATTTGTAAAACGTGTAAGCTGAGCCTACTGATTCAAAAAACTACATAAACTCCCAAACAAGAAACACTCAAAGAAATCTGTGCAAGACATACTATAATCAGACTAAAAACTAAAGACAAACTGTCTTGAAAGCAGCAAGAGAAAAAACACCTTACCTAAAGAGGGAAAATAATTTGAATGACAGTGGATTTCTGATCAGAAACTTTGGAGGCCAGAAGAAAATGGAACAATATTTTTAATTGCTGAAATAAAAGAATGTCAACCCTGAATTCTAAACATGGTAAATTACATCTCAGAAATGAATGAGAAATAAAGACATTCTCAGACAAAATAAAACTAAGAGAATTTGTCACCAACAGACCTACCCTAAAAGAATGTCTAAAGAAAAGTTCTGGAAACAAAAATAAACAAAAAAAGAGGGAACCTTGAAATACTGAGAAGGAATAAAGAACATAGTAAGCAAAAATATGGGTAAATACAACAGACTTTCCTTTTCCTCTTGAGCTTTCTAAATTATGTTTGGTGTTTGAGCCAAAAAGTATACATTGTCTGATGTGCTTTTTGACATATATAGAAGAAATATTTAAGAAAATTACATTAGAAACAGGGAAAGGCAAAGGAATGTAAGGTATGTAAGGTTTCTACACTTCACTCTAGTAAAATGTAAACACCAGTAGGATGTGATAGTGCATATGTAATATATTATCTAGAGCAACCACTAAAAAAAGTCTTTGCAAAGAAATACACTCAAAAAACACTAGAGATGAATCAAAATGCAACTCAAAAAAATGTTCAAATAACCCATTGGAAGGCAAGAAAAAGAAAGCAGAGAAATAAAAATCAGAGGGAACAGAATACAAAAAAGAAAATGGCAAACAACAAAAAAATGCAGACCAATGTCCCTCACAAACATAGAAATACTTAAC